CACTGAGCCACATCTCCAGCTCTTTTTCTTTTTCATCCTGAGAGAGAGTCTCACTAAATTTTTAAGGCTGGCCTTGAACTTGCCATCCTCCTGCCTCAGCCTTCTGAATCACTGGGATTATAGGTGTGCGCCACCATGCCTGGCTTTGATTTGTATTTTATTTTATTTTTTGATTTGTATTTTAAATGCTTAATGGTTAAAACTTCCTTGGTCTTCGGATCCCATCCTGCCACTCTAGATGGATGAGTTTGGAGAAGTTATTTAACTTCTCCATGCCTTCACCATCTGTAAAGTGGGGATAGTAACAGGACCCCCTTTGTATGGTTATTTGAAGATCAAATAAGATTAACAGAAGGACAGGTCTCACTCAGGACAGCCTCTGGTGAATTCTGAATTATTACACAATGATAACCAATACGCTGCTCTTGGCGAGGACACACTGGCTAAGGTCAGGGTGGAAACGGGCACGGTTTGAGTGGCCCCTCCCGTGGGGCAGAGCAACGGAGTGGCCTGGACTAGGGGGACCACAGTGCACGCGAGGTGGTCAGCAGTGGAGCTGGCTGAAAGTGCTGATGGGTCAGATGTGAAAAACGAGAAGGGCGCTGAGCACAGATGGGAGGCCGTGCAGCGTGTCAGCTGGGAGACAGGGCCTGAGTGTCTCAGGGTAAACGCAGCTGGAGTGGCCTGAGTTGGGCGAGGACACTGGACAGCAGCCGGGACACAGTGGACATGTAGTGCTGGGAGACCAGATGGGCTGGCAGGGAAGGGAGTGTGGAGGAGAGGAGGCCCCAGGATAGGCCTGGGGCCGCCAGGTGGACCCGAGGGCTCCGCCCGGCCGGGTTCCGCAAGGTGCCTCGTGAAATGCCTGCAGACTTTTGAGGCGCCTTGTGCAGAGGGCTTTCTGTTTTGCCTGAAATCTCTCACACGTCTGAAGTAGCATTTCTAGGACACATAATTGGGACAGGGCTTGGGAAGACACCAGAACACAGGGGAAGCACAGGGGACAGATGGGGAGCCAAAGCAGAAGCCTTTGCCACTCCAGAGACACGCAGCGCAGGGAGGATGTTCACATTAGAGACAGGCTTTCAGGGGGCGCAAGTGACCCAAAACGTGCAGAAGGATTGAAGGAAAGGCAGCGGGGGCTGAGAGCGCGGCTTCAAAGATGGACACACTATGGTTCAAGCCAGGCTCTGCCCCACCCCGGGTGACCCTGGCTGTGGCACGTGTCCTTTTGTCCTAGCTTGTCTGTGAAACAGGAGCATCAGGGCGTCTCTAACACAAGTATCGGAAGCTGTGAACCAGATAACGCTTTATAAAGTGCTCCATGTAGCTCCAACCCACGGTCAAGTGCAGCTGCCTAAATTCACAGGGAGAGCGGGAAAAGCAAAAAGGATCCAAAATAGAACAAAGGGGAAATGCACGGGGCTGGAATCAGTGCTGGGAGCGGGGCTGGATTCTCGGCGTGACCCTGACAGGCCGGCCCTGCTCTCAGAATAATGTGCTGCCAAATCCCTGTGTTGTCTTGGAACGCTCCATAATTTCATCCTTGAACTTGTGTTTTGCAGCAAATACAGTGCACAAGGAAGTACATGCGGGAGCAGAGAGGATATGCCAGGTGGCATTGAGCAGGTTGAGGCCAGTGAGAATGACTGGCAGTGAGTAGCACAGGTGCCTAGTAGTTGCCCTGGCCACCTGGCATGCACCCACATGGTTGGGCAGCTTGGGACACTGTGGGGCTGCAAGGGGACAGCAGGGCCAGAATCTGTGCCCAGACTGGCAGCAACAGAAGAAACAATGGTGGTGGCACTTCCAAGCCCACCACGCCAAGGCAAGAGAAGGGGTCCACCTGGAAAGGCACTCCCAGCTCTCCAGCCCAAGCACTGGCCAGGTGCCACCCGCCCGCCACCCGCACCAGGGTGGTAAACTTTGTCATGATATGTGAGTTATTAAAATATAACATGTGAATTATTAAATTGTTACAAAATAAAAGCATCCGCCTGATGTTGCAATAAAACATAACAGAGAATTTTCCAGAGTTTAGAATCTCTAGTTTTGAAAACTGCTGCAACATTGCAAAGCAAAAATCCTCAGGCTTACACATGGAAATTATGTAGAAAGGTCATCACATCCTATAGAAAATAATTGTATGTTCAGGTGAAGTTTCATTGTTACTGAGGAAGGCAATTTTAATATTAATTTYTTTTGTAATAGAAGAAAAAGCAGGTGACTCACATAAACAGGTTATTAAAATAATATACATGGGCTGGGGATGTGGCTCAAGTGGTAGCCCGCTCGCCTAGCATACATGAATCACCTCAGCACCACATTAAAAAAATAAAGATATTATGACCACCTAAAACTAAAAAATAAATATTTAAAAAAATAATAACACGGCTGGGGATGTGGCTCAGCCGTAGAGCGCTCACCTAGCACATGCTGTCCCCTTGCAGCCTTCAGCACCACATAAAAATAAATAAATAAATAAAGATATTGTGTCCAACTAAAAAATTAATCAACAAATATATTTTAAAATAAATATATCTATTGGTTAATTTTTAAATAAATAAATAAATAATAACAATATACATATCACACTTGGCGAGGTAGGGCACACCTGTAATCCCAGCAACTCAGGAGGCTGAGGCAGGATTGCAAGTTTGAGGCCAGCCTCTGGCTACTTAGTAAAGAGTCAGAGATAGAGCTCAGTGGCAGAGTGCCCCTGGGTTCAAACCCCAGTTCCACTTGCAAATAAATAAATAAATWAAWAAAAATGAAAACATCACAGCTTGAACAACTGTTCTGGTCCCCTGGGAAGGCTGGCACATTCCCCTGGAGCTCCAACTTTTCCAACTTGTCTTCCCATCATCCCCTTTAGAGAGCTCTCAAAGTGAAACTCTGCTGCTGAATGACCCTGGGGCGGGGCACATCCGGGTCCCTGGCAGGTAGTACAAGTGACAAATGCTTTGGTGTCTGAAGACTGCCGCTCCGACCTGAATGAGGGCGGGGAGCAGTTGCACGTGGCGGGTGGCGTGACCATTAAGCAATACCGACTCCGCGTCCCAGTTACTCTTCTTGACTGAGATGGGCAGTAACCCGGGGTCCATCAGGGTGGGTGGCCTGGCCAGCCCACAGCAGCACTGGGTAGGGCCCAGCGCCGCGGGCCCCAGGGCTCGTTCCCTGTGGCAGGCTGCAGCCTCCTGGCCGCGTCTTCCAGGCGGTGGGGCTCCCGGCCCAGAAGTCCCTTCAAGGCAAGGGCTTAGCGCCTGGGGAACCGGAAGTGCGGTCCCCGAAGGCCCTCGGCACCCCAGGCCTCKTTCTCTCGGAATTGGCTCCTCCCACTTCTGCTTAGCCAATCCTTGTGCCCCATCGTGGAGGAAGGCGACCTGATTGGCTTAGCCACCACCAGTGTGGGCGTGGTCACATCATGACTGACAGTGGGCAAACTTACCTGCTCCTCCACCCCAACCCCAGCTCCCGGGCCTGCTCTGATCAGCTGGGATCTCTCTTGGTCCTTCTGATGGCTCCTCCAAATTCGTCTTGACCTCTTCCGCTCTTTCATCATCAAGTGATCCTTCTGTCTGCACAATGGATGGCATCTTTCAWTGGTCATTCGGCCCGCAACCCACGAGTTTGGCCACCACCCTTAGTGGCTTTCCATGTCACTGGGCCCCCATCTAGACCCCCAGAAAATGAACCCCTAGAGAATGAACAAGCCCCATTCCTGAGACCTCGAGTGGTGGGTCCCCTTTAGCCTGTCCCTCTTCATTCTCCTCTTTCCGTGCCTGCCACTCTCAAGCTCCTCCCCAGCCAGCCCCCTTGCTGCCAAACCCCTGTTCATCCTAGAGAACTCGGGGTGTCACTTGCTCAGAGGGCTGTCTCTGAGCTCCTGGTTTCACCCGCATCTTCTGGCCTTCTTGCCAACCCCGCCCCAGCACAGCTCACAGTTTGTACTTCGGCTTGAGATTGTCTAACCCAGACTTCCTCCACTGGATGAGCATCCCTGCAAGGGTGGGGACTTGTCTGCTGTGGAACTCCGAGACCCRGCAGTGTCTGGGACTTTCTAGGCTAACTCAGTGGCCAATTCAGGGCCACTAACTTTAAAAACAGAGTCCCAGACCATGCATACTGAAGAGATGGAAGTGGTCTGGAATGAGGCCAAGCTCCTCATCCTGGTTACCTGTGGAGTTGGAGAAGAGACCAGGACAGGGAAGTGGGGGGCGGGGGTGTGCATTTGTGCACATCAGGGGGAGACTGGCTTCAGTTGCAGTGATTTTACATTTTTACTTTTTAAAAAGGAGAATATATTTGGAGCTTCATGTAATTAATAGCTTCCTGTGTAATTAAAAATTAACCGAACAATAATAAATAAATAAGACRTGGTAGGCACTGTGATGCATGCCTGTAACCCCAGTTACTTGAGAAGCTGAGGGAAGAGGATTGCAARTTTGAGGTCAGCCTGGGCAACTTAGCAAGCACCTGTCTCAAAATAAAGAGGAAAATGGGCAGGGGATGTAGCTCAGTGGTAGAGCACCCTGGGYCCAATTCCCAGTCCTGCAAAACAAACAAATAAGACATGGCCCAGGTCAGGGGAGACAGAGGCGATGGCAACCCCAAGCCACAAAGAAACACTGACAACTTGTGATCCGCTGGTGGGTTCTGAGTCTTCACTTTATTACTATGTCACCAGAAGTCACCACCTTCACTTGGTTCACCACAAATGGACAGATGTCATAAAGGAGGGTGCCACAGGGCCACTGGATTCACTCTTGAGAGACTTGACCAGGTGGTGGGGGGTCTAGATGGGGGCCCAGGATGGGGACCACCCTTCACCACACGTGCGCGTGCACGCACACACACACATAGATATATTTGTGGAGCCTTATATTATACATCTTATATATAGAAAATATATATATTTATACTATAYACAGGCAGTACCGCTGCGGGAAGGGCCAGGGCACCCAGACAAGGGCTGTGGGCACCAGGGGCTGGGAGTGTCAGGTCAGGGGCAGCGCTGGGAGGTGGCTGGACCAATCCATCCTCCATAAAGTCTGGGGGGCGGTCCCCCTTCATGCTCCTTAGAGAATCAAAGGAGCCTTGGGCCAGGGCTAGCGGCCCCCAGGGGTAACAAGTGGGAGCTCTTGGTACCTASGAAGAACCTGGGGCCCTCAAGAGTCTTTGAGATCGAGATTCACCAGGGAAGGAGGGAGAGGGGAAGCCGATGCAGGCCCCTGGGAATTAGCCCCTCCATTATCACACCTCCAGGTGGAYGAGGAGCCACCCAGGCCTGACGGCCGATTGCACAGGATCATGTCAACTCAGGAGGCAGAAGAGAGGGCTCCCCACCTCTTGTTCTGTGCTTGACCTTGGACAGATTACTGCCTTCCTGTCCAGACTGGAGCCTTTCTAAGGGTCCTTGCAGCTCCACACTGTGGAACCCATTTCCGGGGCCTCTTGTGCTTGATGGGGAAGGGGGAGTCCAAACCCTGCACGGTTGGGCTGAGGGCGGGGTGTGGGGCACTTCTCCAAGGAAAATTTGGAAAAAAGGAAAGCAGAGGGCATTGGGGGAGGCCGAGGGGATTCGAGATGCCAGGGGCCTCGGGCTCAGGGCCCCAAGGGGCTGTGCGCAGACAGCAGAAGGGCGATGAGGCCTCCAGCAGCACTCAGGGGCGTGTCCCGTCCAAATCCTACCCTGGAACATCTGTCACCCTCTGTCTCATTTTCACATGGAACCCAGCTGCTGTCCAGCTGCCTCAGGCCCTCTGCCACCCCACTGCCCTTGGGGGCCTGGACAGACCCCAGTTCTATCCACAGCCACTGCTAGCTCGCCTGTGCTCACGGAGCGTCCCTTCTGTTCAGGGGGACAGTGCTGCTCCTTCCCCGTTCCTGGCCCACCTCAGGACCCTTGCTCAGGGGAGCCTTGGGCTCACGGGGTTTGCCCCACGCCTCCCACCCTCAACGGGCTCTTTGTACCTTTTCTGGCTGGTGCTTGTCTTCCCAATGGACCATAAGCTCTGAGGGCAGGGGCAGGGACCATGCACACCCTCCATGTCCCCAGCACAGGAACCTGACAACTGGCTGCTGAGAGTGAACAAGGCAAGGGGCGAAGGGGTCAGGGGGCGAGGGCTCTCTCGCCCCATCCCTGTGGCCAACCCACAATCCCCTCTGCCCTGCTGCCTGAGGTACTGGCTCGTGTGCACCGGGCAGAGAGGTGCAGGAGGACGGACGGCACAGACATGCAGCCTCCCTGTCACTTGCAGCTCAGGGTGGAGGAACCTTATGCAAGAGCCTTCCCTGCCTAGCCCAGAAGGGCCCGCTATGCCCACARGCCCCACCCATGCCTGTGTCTTAGGGGTCGCCGAGGCCCTACCCGCTGCAGCCCAGTCACCCTGAGCCACTCTGCACCAGCCGCCCTCCCTGGGTCCCCTTGGGGGCTTTGCACTGCCTCCCACAGCAGGCCTCTGGAAGGCCAGGGAAAGATGCCCCATGTCCAGGCTTGCTCCAGCCAGAATCTCTGGCTGACCCCAGCGAGAGGAGGATGAGTGTCCCAGATCAGGCAGGGTATCAGGCACCTGCTGGGTGACTGGGGTCAAGAAACCCAGGCAGCAAACCCAGCTCAGCTCCACCGGCTCTTTGGGACCTTGGGCCAGCCCTGCCCCCCACCTGGCCTTCTTACCCACCAGCTCTGGGCAGGGACCTGGGGAGCCAGTCGTTTGGGAGACCAAGAGGGAGTTGCTAGAGCTCCCTGCAGGACACAGAGCAGGAAGCACGGGGTCATGGGCGAGCAGGGTGAGCACCCCTGGAGAAGGCCAAGGCCAAGGGTGGGCACCCACAGGAGCAGGCCCCTAGCTTGCAGCAGGATCGTGGTGTCTCGGGGCTGAGGCGCCCATGGCCCCAGGACGAGGACACCACGGAGCCAGGCTCGTGATGGGGGAGCGGGTAGGGCAGGAAGAGCGGGCAGGCACCAGCCTAGGGGCTGCCTGCCCAGCCCTGYCTTCACTGCCAGCCTCCTGAGCCACCTGGGCAAGCGACCTTGACCTTCCCAGGCCTCAGCTTCCTCAACCTGCCAATCCTAGCAGGTCGGGTGTGTGGACAGGTTCTGGGGGGTGACAGCCTGAGCCCCGTGCCACCAGACCTCCGGGCATCACCCCAGCCCTGCCTTGGTGCTAACAGGGCTCCCTCCACATCTCACCCAGCCCTTGACAGGGACCATCTCTGCCTCTTCCCCACATGTGCTGAGCACAGGCCTGGCACACAGCAGGCGCTCAACAAGCACTTGAGGACGCAATGAATGAATGCACCTCACCCCTGTCCCCAGTCCCTGCTGGGCACATGCCCTGGACACACTTGCACACTCAGGCAGAGAGAACCCAACACCTGGCTGCTCCCACCCCTCCAGAGCTTCCAGGACCTCAGTGGAACACCTGGAGGCTGCGGGGTGCTGGGCAGGGCAGCCTGGGAGGGGAGGGCGTGGGGCGGAGAGCAGGGCAGAGGGCKGGGGCAGGACACGCGAGGGTGGGGCAGGCGGTCACTGCGGCTCAGTAGCCCTGCGACTGGTAGCCCTGGGGCTCAGTGTCAAAGGCGTTGGCCGGCTGCTGGTAGGTGCCACCCATGCCGGCGGGGTCCGGSCCGGTGCTGGGCTCCACGTAGGGGGCGTAAGGCATGCTGGAGTCCTGGCTGGGGTCCATGTAGTCCTGGGAGAAGAGGGCCGAGTCGGCGCCAATCTGGTACCGCTGGAAGGCCAGCACAGCCTGGCCCGCCTGGGGGCGGGGGCCAGCAGGGACAAGGACAGGTGGGAGGGGTGGTTAGGGGAGAGACAGACAAGAGCCGGGTTAGTGGAGGTTAGTTCACAGGACACAGGCAGTAGAGGGTCTCAGGCCCTCAAAGCACTGAAGTGAAAGTAAGTCCAACTGGGGGCCGGAGGGCCATCCTGGAGGCCACCCTGCCTGAGGCCCAGAGGTCACTCTAGGCCACCAAGAAGTCTTGACCTCCACTGTGGAGGGTTAAGATGGCCCCAAAGCCTACAGCCTCCTCCTCGAACTGTGACCTCAGGGCTGCCCTGTGGAATGCGGCAAAAAAAGTTTCTTAATAGGTCAGAGAAATCTTGGCACCTCCTAAAAGCCATCCTCTGTCTTGCAGCTAGGCATAGACACGTGACTAAGTTTTAGCCACTGTGGTGCCCCCATGTTCTCTGTCCCACTCTCTGCTCTGATACCTGGAACACAGATGTGATTGCTGGAGCTCTAGTTGCCAAAGTGGACCACAAAGTCCATAAGCACATTGTAGAGAGGGAAGATGCCTGGGTCACTGAAGACCTCAGAGCCACTCCGCTAGTCCTGGGCCACTCCCTACACCTAGACTTCTTTGAAATCGCGGTTATTTGAGATTTCCATCACTTGCTGCTCACTCTAATTCTTGCTGAAACACATGGTCAGAGAAGTTTGGGAAACAGAACTAAATGGAGGGAAACTAGTTTCAGGACCACAGGACTTGCCAGATCCCCACGGGGGAATGGTGGCACCCAAACTTTGCTAACCTCATCTGACTCCACGGCCCGGTTCTCCCAGAGCCCAGGCGAGGAGACTCAGCTGTGTACACATGCGTAGGGAGATTCTTTCTCATTAAAAGCAATTACACTGTCTTCAGGACAACGACGCTGGCCACTCTGAGCTCAGGGTAAATCAAATTCGCCATCAGAATCCAGCTCAGAGGTCTGGTGACGCCTGCTCTGGGGATCTTCAGCCTGGGGACCCTGCCTGGGGAAGTCGCTGTGCTGAGCACCCCGGCTGCAGGGCTGGGAGACGGAGGTCCCCAACTCCTTCCCCACAGGGCCAGGGGGTGGCAGTGGCGGCACTCTGCCCAGGAGGCGCCGGGAGCTCGGTAACTAGGTGCCAACAGCAGCGGCCTTGGCAGCCCTTGCTGGGAAGTGGGTGTCGCCACAAAGCACCTGAGGAGGGTGGAGGAGGGTGGAGCAGGGAGAAGCTGGGCTGAGGCGTCAGGTGGCTTCTGGGGTTGCCCTCGGTGCTGGTCTGGGGTCCTGGCTGCTGGGGCTMGGAGACTGGGCCTTGAGCTGTCAGCAGCCCTAAGAGCTCACAGGGGACACGCAATGGGACTCCCGAAGGGACAAGGAGTGCGGTCCTGGCCCCTCCGGCACTTCCACTCCCACTGTGGAGGCTGGTCTCCTTCAGAGAGGCAGAGGGCTGGCCCAGATGACCTCGGTGAACCCTTTCCCGAGAGGCTCTGGCCATGGCAGCGAGGACTGGGGCTGTGGTCAGCCCCCACCCTGTGGCTCAAGGCCCATCTGGTCACCACTTCGGGAGCAGAGGCCAGGCCTGGGCCCCCACTATCCAGGCCGCAGTAGGTGGCTGGGGTCCTTGGACACCTGACCCCCTTCCTCAGAACAGGCACATTCCTGCAGCTCGCCCGCGGGGCAGCAGCCCCGTCCACCTGCAGCGCCCCCGGCCCCTGGCCAGGAGCCACCTGGACTCAGCTCCGCCAAGCCGAGGCCCCGCCCTGAGGCCTGGTGGCCACTGCCTTCTGCTGCCCTGGAGTTGAGCAAGAGGCAGGCTCCTGTCCAGGCGGCTGAGGGCACAGGGAGGCCGAGCCTTCGGCAGAATGAGGACTCACAAGAGGCTCCCTCCCAAAGCGCAAATTGCCCCTGACTTTCCGGGAGGATGAGTGAATGAGTGAGTGAGTGAATGAGTGAATGGGTGAAGGAATGATGAATACAGAAGCTGACATTTATTGAGCATTCCTGTGCCCAACCCTGTGTGGCCTTTATTTCATCTGCATGACCACCTTGAAAGGTTGGTCCATTATTACCTGTCAGGCCAGGAATATGGACTGAGGCTCAGAGAGGTATAGGGATTGCTCTAGGTCACACAGCACACAAGAGCAGAACCAAATCAAAAGGCCTCTGACAGTCCAGGCCAGGCCCCTTTCGGCAGCCAGCCTCCAGAGAGACGGTAAGACCATCCTCCATGCCACAACTGTGGACACAGAGATCATACAGTGCCTGCAGCTCAGCACCTTGGACCACGGACACCCTTGGCAAGCCCGTGGATGGACTAACCTCCAGCCTTCTAGCAGCCTGCAGCCCATTGGGGAGGTTCTGATGTCTGTCTTCCCCTCCCAGCCTGGGGGGTTCCTGGGGAGCAGGATCCCTGTCTAACTCATCACTAGGCACAAGATAGCTGCTCAATAAACGTTTACTTAATGAATGAACGGACAAAGAACGGACAAAGGGGCAAGAGTGAAGGAATGAGCCAGGGAGGGTCTGACTCTTCCAGCCGTGCCCTGTCCTGGGGTCCCGGGCATCTTTGGCACTAGGTGGGCACCGGGCTCCCTGCTCTGCAGGTTGGGGCTACGGCTGTGCCGAGGCAGGGAACAGTGTGCTGTATTCCTCCTGGAAGGTAAGGTCCTTGAATCTGCGCACGGCCAGGGCTGCGGTCAGGCTCTGCCAGGAGAGAGCAGGGGTGAGGCCGCTGGAGCGGAGCCAGAGGGCAGCGGTGCTAGCAGGGAGGGAGGCCTTGGCACCTCGGCCAGGTGCTTCAGATAGCCCGGAAATGCTGGTGTCCCCTCACCTCTGTTCCTCTGTGGGCCCCACCTCTGGGCTAGCTGCCTCCAAGCTCTGCCTGCAGGTGGCAGGGCCCAGTTCTGGGTGCCCGTCTGGACTGAGATCCCGTCTCCCACCCAGACTTGAAGACATAAAAGCCTAGAGTGGCCCTGGCTGGCCCACGGGGACGGGGCTACCGGTTTCCTCTCCAAACTCCAGCTCCAGATATTGTGCTGTGGGTTGGGTGTCCCCAAAGAAAGTGTAAGTCCAGGGACCCTCGAGAAGAGGCAGAAGTCACCGCAAGAGGGTGGAGGAACAGGGAGGGCTGGTGCACGCAGCCTCAAAGTCTCCTTGCAGGAGGCTGGGCAGGGACTGCACATCGGGGAAGGGAGAGCCCTTGAGGGGGCCTGGAGCTGGGGTGACCCTGGATCTCTGCAGGACGGAGCTCGGGGAGAAGAGAGAGAGACTTCCTAGACCTGCGGGAGGCCATGCGGTGTGCCCACAAAGACCCGGTCTCCAGCCTGGTTCTCAGGGGCCTGCTCTCTTTGACTCACAGGATATATATTTTTAAAAGTGTAAATAAATCACCAACACTTGAAGATTAGATTTCATGTGAAAATTTAGATTTCTTGTTTCTCTGGAAAAATTTCTGCATGGCCACAGGCGCTTTGCAGAGGGGCCCCTTAGAGTGCACAGGCCACCTGGCCACTCACCTGCTCTCGGCCCTGCCTGGACACCAGGGTTTGTGATCCCCCCACCCCACCGGGCATCTCCAATCCCCTCATTCTCCAGATGGGAAGACAGAAGCTGGGGAATCAGAGGCAGCCCGACCGTGTGAACCCGGTCTCCTGAGCCTGGGAAACTTGAAGCCCCACCTCCCTGTCTAGGGCTCCACCTTCCCATCTGTAAAATRGGATGATAAATACCATCCAGAGAGGCCCAAGAGTCTATGACCTTGGGGCAGCTGCTCTGCACCAAAGTGAGGGCCTTGGCTGTCTGTGCCCAGGGCGGCAGCGGGGCCGTGAGGCTGGGCTGTGAGGCTGGGCCTGCAGGGGGCGCTCCAGAGGCAGCCAGAGGCTCTGCGGGAAGGCTGCCCCGGGGGCTGGGCCGGTGGGTGCTGTACTCACCCAGGTGAAGATGGAGAAGAAGGAGAAGGCGATGGCGGCCCTGGCGGCGTCCGTACCCTCGTTCAGTGGGTTGTCCTTGGGCTTGGAGACCTGCCACTGGTTGGCCAGGTAGCAGAAGCCCACAAACCAGAGGAAGGCCCAGAAGGCTGGGGTCCCCGGGGCCAGGCAGAACAGTGAGGGTGCAGAGCGTGAGGGACAGGGTGTGTGGAAAGCAAACAGGGAAACCGAGGAACAGGGCAAGTTCACGGGCAGGTCTCCCGCACTCCCCACCCCAGCGGGCAAGGCAAGGGGGAGGGGAGCAGGAGGAGGTGCAGGGGGAGGGGAGGAGGAGGAGCCGGAGGATTCAGTCAGATGCAGAGGGGGAGGCCACAGGAGGTCAAGCCAGGGTCAAGTGCACAGGGCAGGGTGGGACAGAGAGGGAGGGCCACAGCAGGGGGGAGGGGGAGAGGGAGGAGGAGAGAGGGAGAGAGGGAGAGAGAGCAGTCAGCTCGGCCAGTGTTTCTCTAACCGCCAGACACCAGTTTATAGCCACGTCCCTGACTAGGCCCACCTGAGGCCAGCCACTGTCCAGGGAGGAAGGCTGCGGCGCCCCTGCTCAGGCTTCCGGAAAACCAGTGGGGATTTGGGGGAAGAGGCTGGTGTGGGGGCAGCTCTGGGGGTGGAGCCTCACAAAGCCCCCTAGTTCAGAACGGGCCTCTGAGACCTGGGGCGAGGCTCAGAGGGGTCTGTGGTAACATGATCTGGGGGTCCCAGGTCAGGGGGCCCGGGCTGAAGGTCACTTCTGAAGGGCAAAGGGTGGCAGGTCACCTACAGGTCACCAGAGGAAGGGGGWTGGGCTCCAGGGACCCACTGTGTGCCAGGGTCCCATGGCCCTGGCTTAATTTTCACAGGCTCCGCCAGGAGGGGGCGCAGCAGGGCTGCTCTGGGGTCTCAGGCCTTGCCAGCCAGGGGACCCTGAGTCTGTCCCCTCACCCGCCTACACCTCGGTTTCCTCCTTGGGAAATGGGGAGGGGGCGGCGGCTAGGTCCCCCAGCAGGGCTCACCCGAGACGCCGATGTCGGACAGGACAGCCTTCTTGCGGTCCTTGACGCTGCTGATCTGGGGGAAGTAGACGTCCAGGGCCAGGTAGAGCAGGCAGGTGAGGAAGGCCAGCACGCCCACCGCCACGCCGTAGCTGCAGGCGCTGGCGTTGCGGTTGTAGATGCAGAACTCCTCGCCCTCCGCSGGGCTGTTGAGGTAGCCCTCGTTCACGATGGAGCCGAACACCACGATGGAGAACACCTGCAGGGGTGCGGGGTGAGCCTGGGGGGCGCTGCCCCAGCCCCGGGACCTGCCCCCGCCTGACCTCTCTGAGCCATGGGGCAGGTGGTGAGTGGGCATTTCAGAGAGAGGCCCAGAGATGCCCACCACCAGGGCAGCTTGCCTGAGGTCACACAGCGCAAGTCGGGTCAACTGCTTCCTTCCTGAGCTGCAAGCGCTAACCCCTAGCCAGAGAAGTTGTCCTGGGCCCTGACACCAAGGTCCCCTAGTGTCAGGGCCCAGGACAACAACAAACGTGTTTGTTGCCTTAAGACCTGAGTTTGGGGGCAGTTTGTTACACAGCATCAAGGCTGGACTGGCCCCAGAATGGGGAGCCTTTGGCCCTCCTAGTGTGAACATGCCCAGCCCCACCCCACCCTCCCCTCTGGGGTCTCAGGCTGTGTACAGTCCCTGCTCTGTTGCCAGGGCCAACAGCAGCACCACATGTGCCACCTCATGTAGATCCTCAACGGCCCCCAGACAGGCATGTTTCAGCTGGGTAGGCAGCAGCTGAGGTGGCCCCAATGACCCTGCCCAGCAGTGCATGACCTTGTGTCCCTAAGGTCCCTTGAGAGTGCTGGATCTAGCAATTTACTTCTAACAGACAAAAAATATGGCAAAGGTGATGAGGTGCTGAGAGCCATAGCCAAGTAGGAATGATGCATGGCAATTTCCTTGTCAGCCTACCCCATGTTGGTTAGAGGGAGGACTCTCCATTGTGGAAATGGGCTTGCCTTGGACCCAGGTCATTTGCAGTGACATTGCATCAATGTTTGAGAAAGGTGACCCTGCTCAAGGACCAGGGCGGATAGGGGTTTAGGGTGGTTCCAAGTTTAGGGTGTGGATCCTGCTGGGAATAGGGCGGTTCCAGGTTTAAGGTGATTCCTGCTGGGAATAGGGCGTATCCTGCTGCCTCAGGCACCCGCCCGCTCCTTGAGTTCCCCTTGAGTTCTTGCGGGATTCAGAGAGTATTTTGGGATGCAGAGCCCAGTGGAAGTGTGGATTTTCCCCAGAACGTGCGTGTAGAGTGCCGGTGAGAGTTGGGGAATTAAGAATTGCTGTTTGAATCTACAAGGCTGTGAATGGCTCGTGATTTTGTGCCCAGCCAGACTGCGGCAATGAGGTCTCCCTCCTGGGTACAGGTCACAAGAAGCCCTGCCCACCCCCAGCTTGTCCCTGCACCAATGGTGGAAGCCAGCATGGTATTCTGAGCTCCAGAAAGGAACAGCCAAGAGCCCKCGGGAACTGAGTCCCTCCACAGGCTGGATTCCTCCAACACAGCGTTAGTGAAGTTGAGACTGGATCTGCCCGTGGGGGGCYGTCAGATGAGACCAGGGCCCCTGGGGGGTGCTGTGGGTGTGGCCCTGTGACAGCCCTGGAGGCAGCAGCATCCAGCAAGGCAGAGTCCTGCCCCACAGAAACTGTGAGGCAGCCATGTTTGTTGCCTTAAGACCTGAGTTTGGGGGCAGTTTGTTACACAGCAGTAGCTGTTGAATACATCAGTACCACCAGCATTTTACCAATGGGGTGGTGAAGGCATGCGTATTAGTGAATGTGCCCAGAGACACAGCCTGGGATGTGGCACAGCTGGGCTCTAAGCCCAGGGGACCCGACACCAAAGTCCATGCTTTCTCCCTGTTTTGCTTGCCTCCCTGGAAACCAYGAGGGGACCCAGAGCTGAGGCACAAACACTCCAGAAGATTTGGCCCCATGTTTGGCCCCTGGTGGCAGACCTGGCAGGGATTGCTATYGTCCAGGTCCACTTGTCTTTACTTTCCATTTTTTCCTGAAAGGAGGGCATGATCAAAAGTGGAGACCCTGGGCCAGGACATGATCCCCACCCGAATGCGCACTGGCAGAGGGACCGAGAGAGCCATTGCTCGGCGGCGCTAGGGTTGTCGATCAGCCATACGGAGGCACAGAGCACTGATAGGCACGATAGGGGACGAGCCTGGAGAACAAGTGAAGGAAAAATAAGCAATGGAAAGCAGGACGTGGGGACAGGGCACTGGCCAGTGGTGGAGCGTCTGGTGCCCACGGCCCTGGGTTCACCCCAGCGCACACACAAAAAAGGCCACATCGTATGATTTCTCTTATGCGCTCTGCTCATGAAAGGCAAGTGGAGAGAGAGCAGGTGGAGGCGGCTGGATTGCTGGATGGCGTGGGGTTATTTGATGGGCACGGGGTGTTCTTATGGATGATGAAAGGTGTGGAAACCTGGGAGAACCAGGGAGAGGTGGCGAGCATCCGGCGGGAGGCAGGGAGAGTGCGCCYCCGCCACTGAGTCAGGCACTGGTGAGGAGTCGCAAGCTGCGCGAAGTTGGCCGCCATAAAAAGAAAGGACCCGAGGCGTGTCCTGGATTGGCCACAGCACCCATCTGCCAGGCCTGGTTGGGACGCCACAAGACCAAGGCCTCTGGCGGAGGCAGGACGTCCTGGCTCGCGGCTCCGCCCACCGCGGCTCCGCCCACCACGGCTCCGCCTCCTCTCCATCAGCCCCCAGACTAACAGGGCAACAGGTGCAGCCCAATGGGCAGATGTGCTGGCGTCAGGGCCCAGGTCTCTGGATTCCCGCCAGAGCTCCTTTCACCTGGCCAAGCAGGCGCTCAACCTCAGGGCACCTGAAGAAGGCGTGGCATCAGAGGGACCAGCAGGGAGAAAGGCCTGGAGCGGCATCAGTGCGACTGGATCAGGCAGCTGGACCGGAGTCCAAGTCTGAGGCTCAGAAGACAGAAATAGTGACAAGAAGCCAGGCTTCAAAACAACTGTCAAAAGGGCTCCTGGCCACCCCTCAGGCAAAGCAGACTCCGTCACACTGCAGGGAAAGGTGGGCTCCTATGAATTGTGACTTTGAACCCTGGCACTGCGACAAGCTCC